CAGGAAGTATTGGTTACGGTTTGCTTGTGTTATAAAAAATATAAATAAATAAAAATAAATACTAAAAAATATCAATGCAAAAAGGCAAAATAGGGCTCCACCATTTAGAGTCTTGCTCACTATGTTCAGAGCCTGGAAGGAGTTTGAAATAGGGTCTGTTCCGGAAAAAAAGAACCAACCAACCAAAAAACCCAGCGGAGCACTGACTAACTAGGAGATGCTGGGAAAGGTCTGCAGCTGTGGAAGGAATCTTTTTTCCTAAATTCTGGGCTGGAAACATCAGCAAGTGACAGCCACCCAAAAGGAGGGGATGCCAAATACCCTGAAAATGTGATGAAACCAGCAAAAGCTTTTTGCTTTTCTCCCAAAAGTCCTGGGAAAGGGGCAGGGGATAATACATTACCCTCTTAAGCCTTCCCTTTGCTGCACCCTGAAATGCACTAGTGTCATGGAAGAGAAAATCAAGTCAATAAATGTAGCAATTTATATATATTTGAATAGATAACAAGAACAATTTTACTGTTTGCCATAAATGAAAAAAAAAAGAAAACCTCACCAAATCATTCCTCTGATTGAGGTTCTGAAGCTCTTTTTATGGCTGCAAAGTGATTTGATACAAAAAAATTACACATTTTGAGTTATTATATCACCCAGAAATTTGATGCCACTTAACTATGTAATTTTCAGAAATGATATAAAACTATTGCAGAAAAATATTCAGGGAAACCCAAAAGACCTCTTTTTATCTTTTTTTTAATGGGTCTAAAATGAGAACTCGCAGAGATCCTTGCACTGTATGTGAAGTCTGAACTGCTATCTCGGGAGCTTTATTAATATGTATGTAAATACGATCTGGTTAGATCCTGTGTTTCTGTATCTTTTCACAAGGTGGAACGGCTAACTAAGCCGATCAGATCAATGCCCTATGTTTAGCCTTTTTTTTCCTCTGAAAAACAGCATTTAAAGATTCAAAGAGGCTGAATGTAGCAGCCTCATTTATATCGAAATTGTCTCAAATCCTCCTTCCTTCCTTCCTTCCTTCCTTCCTTCCTTCCTTCCTTCCTTCCTTCCTTCCTTCCTTCCTTCCTTCCTTCCTTCCTTCCTTCCTTCCTTCC